AAGCATCTCGTACGGTGTCCAGGCGAACACCTCAATGTTTGCTCTCAAGAACGCCTCTAATTCCTTTTCCTCTTCCTCGGCCAAGCCTGAGCCGAGAAGGAAGAAGCGCTCTTCATCCCCTTGCTAGACTAAGATCTTCTTCAGGGCTTCTTCACTTTTCTCGGCTGGTTCTTTGCCGACGTCCTCAAGGACCTCTATGTCATTATCCTCAATCTCTATTATTTCTGCGTCTCGTATGTTGCAAATAGATTTCATTACTGCCATGAAGCAATTCTTTGCTTACACCTGATCCCCTCTGACCTCCTCAATTCCATGTTCTGTTGGGAACCGCAACAGCTGGTGCAATGTTAAGGGAATAGCCCCTATTGCATGCAGCCATGGCCTTCCCAGGATAGCATTGTAAGGGGAGGGGGTGTCAATTATTGTGAACTCCGTTTTTACCTTCTTGGTGCCAGCCTGTACCTCCAAACTTATTGCTCCCAGGGGCCACGTCGACACTCCGTTGAACCCAACCATTGGACCATTGGATTGTTCCAGATCATCTTGGTGAAGACCAAGCTCCTTGTGACACCTGACATACATGATGTCACAAGAGCTGCCCTGGTTAACTAGAATTCACTTTACCTGGCACTCTCTAACCTAGAGGGATATTACCAAGGTGTCGTTGTGTGGATGTTACACCATGTCTAGATCGCTTTCAATAAAGGACACCATTGGTCCCTGGTGCTCGTCTGCCCTAGGTCTCTTCTGCCGAACCTGATACACATGTTGCAAGTGTTTTACCTTCTGAGTCTCTCCACGTGTCTCGTTCTCATTGACCTTCGAGTGAATCATATTGATCACTCGAGGTCCGTCTGCCTGTGATTGTGGTGCTGGCAGGGGTGGTGCTGCTGGAGCCTGAGGCAATCTCGCTTGTTCCTCCCTCGTCCTGGCCTCATGTACTAGGTTCCTTAAATGACATTGTCTTACCAGGTCTTCTAGATGTGTTTTTAGGGCTCTGCACCCCTGAGTTAGATGTCCATCCTCATTATGGTAGGCACTGTGCTTCCCCAGACTTCTTTGCATAAATTCGCCAGGAATTTTCTCTGGTGCTCTATAATAGGGATGATTCTGGATTCTTTCCAAGACTTTGTAAATCGAAGTTTGGAATACAGTTGTGACTGCTTGTGCAGCCCTCAATCCTATCTCTTGCTTGTTGTATCCAGTGTTACCTCGGCCTCGCTTCGGTGAGCCGTTTCTCTTTTCTTATTTTGACGCCTTTGTCCCCAGCGTGTCTTCTTCGGCTCTCGCATACTTCTCTATCCTGGCCATAAGTTTCTCCATACTTTTTGGCAGTGTCTTTGCCAGCGATTTTCGAAGCAGACAATCATCGTTCAGGCCGTTCTTGAAAGACAAGACCGCCACCTCTTGGTTGCATCCTGGTATTCGGTTGAATACCTCATAATACCTCTTAGCATAAGCCCTAAGGCTTTCATCCTCACCAATTCTCAGAGCCATCAAGGAGTCAACCCTCAACGGCTGTAATTTGTTTGTTACAAACCTGGCCACGAACATCTCGGCCAGGCCTTCCCAGCTTTTCATAGTTCCTTTCGATAACTTGTGAAACCAGTTTGATGCGATTTCCCCAAAGGATGAGGGGAATACCTTGCAGAGCAATGGCTCGTTCCCGGTATATAGTGCCATTGAGTTCAGGTACAAGCCGACGTGAAAGTTAGGGTCAGACTTACCGTCGTATATCTGGAACCTCTTTGGGGCTTCAAATTTGCCCAATTCTACCGAGAACGGCGTTCTCGGCTTGACCGGAAAGGTTACCTCGGCATCTTGTCGTTTTCTTTGGAGGTAATCTCTTAGATCCTCTTTGGTCCATCCAGGAGCTCGGCTATCAACGGATTTTAGCCTCTTTGGTGTGCTACTCCCAGTGTCGTTATGAGTCCTCTTGGACCTCTCTCCATTAGTCGTGTCGAAACAAAGCTCCTTCCCTTGAGCATGCCGATGTTCTTTGGCATAGGCTTCTTTAGTACGATGTGTTTTCTGAGACTCTCCCTTTATCGACTCTCCTCGCCCGACCTCCCGTGAAGGTCGGTGGGAATGTTCCTTAGTCCTGTCGTGCTGAGGGACTGCAAGAACTATTTTATGTCCCTCTTTCTGGGCATCTTTTTTGGCCACTAGAATCGGTGTATCTTGTAACGAAAACGGTGGCTGCATGGCGTTATTCTACATCATGAAATTGACGACTGATTGTAGGTCCGCTAATTTGTTCACCATTCCCTTCATCTCGTTGTCCCTCCGTAGGCATCTATCTTTCCATACCTTGAGGTCGTCCTTGTTATAATACCCACCTCGATCTGCCTTCTTCGGTACGTCTCCCTCCTGGCTGATGTCTTTTTCTCCGGGATTCTGATCCCGAGTTTCTTCTTTGCAGTTATCCTCCTCTGCGTTAGGATCAAAGTGTTTACCACTTCCAGTAGGGATGTCGTCCCCAATCTTCTCTTTATGTCCGTCGTTGGCCATCTATTCTCCTTTCTTTCCCACAGACGGCGCCAAATTTTGTGTGCTATTTTCTGACCATACTGCCAAACAGGTACTCAGCTGGAGAACACTGGCAAAATAGATTGTGCCCGAATGACCTGTCACAGAAAGATGAGACTCCAGCAGTGGTTCGTCCACCCGGGGGCACTCCGACGATCAAATCAGTACTTAATTATCTCTCAAAGATAGCAAATAGTGCTTTTATTCACTAGTCAGAATTCAAAAAGCGTACTTTGAACCCATAAGGGTGCCTTACTTTTATAGTCAGCACTAACCTGATCCCTGTAGAAGCCTAGCTTCCCTTACACTCTGGCCCAATGCTCATCTTGGACTCTCCAATAGATAAAGATAAACTCCCTAGGATATTTATCCTTATCCAGGCCGACGTCCTCCCCCATTTTAGGACTCTTATAACTTATCCGTTTATCCCGGATTCCGGTATCTCCGCAGATAACCTCGGCCTAGCCGAGATGATCTCGGCGTCATGACCAGGACATGTGGCACCTCAACTGGCACTTCGGTGCCACCTTGCCCACGTGTTGTCATTCAAAAAATATGTCCCCACACCACCAATCTATAGACTATTATGAGAGTGTCATGTAGTAAGTGGGCTATAAAAGTTTCGGTTTCATTTTTTGTCTGAGTGTCAACCACAGGGCATGAGGATATGAATCTTCTAAACTCATACTTACCAAATCCTTTCAATCCAACTAAATCAAAAGGTCAAATCAAAAATTCATAGTCAAATAGACATATTTATGAGTCCACAAGTCATTAGATTCCGTAATTATTCGATAAGTTCAATGGCAAATCATAGAAGTCTCCCAGATTGAGCATAGTTTGGTTTGATTCAGTTTAGAAGAAAATTATGAACCAAATGAATCAACTATCAAAAAGAACATGAAAAGATAATAACAAAAAAACAAATCATAATTCAATCGTATATATAATAATTAAAAATAAATTATGTACAAGATTTTGGTATTTAAGAGATGTTTGGGTGTGATTGGTTACCATTTTGATGTGTTTTGTGTGATTTTGAAAAAATGAAATTGAAACTTTGTTCAGTTTTGATTCACGAACAAATTAAGATTATTCGGTCTTTGGCAGCCAAACATTTCAAGATTATTTAGACAACAAAGGTCAACGTGAACAATTTCACCAATTTTTCATCAATTAGTGAGCTATAACCAAACAAACTTGGCTTGTTCGGTCGTTTCTAGCCGAACAAACTAAATTTGCTCAATCGAATATGGCCGAACAAATCAAGTTCATTACCCTCTAATTATTCAAACAAAAATCAAACGAAAATGATTGTTGGGGTAAGGAAGGGCTGCTATTGGACGATAGTGGAGGTGCAAAAGGGGGTTGAGGTGGTAGAGAAAGCCGCCGAAGGTGGTGGTGAAGGTGTCTAGAGGTGGTGGTGGCAGGAAAGGGGGTTTATCGAAGGAAAAATTGCGATAAGGATGGTGGTGCAAAGAAGGAAAATGTTTGGAATCCCTTTAGGGATGAACCCTACACCCCCAAAGTGATCCTAACCCTCTATGTATGTGTGGGGCCTACTCATGTTGGTGTGGGGGTCCACATTATGAATAGTTCAGATTTGTTAGGGTCTTGTGAGAGTGGGGATCTCAATCATTACTCTGCAAAGAAGGAGTATTTTGAGGATTGTGGTGGGAATCCAATGAAAAAGAGGGAGGAGAACAATTTGTATGGTAGGGGTCAAAAGAAATAGGAGGTCCTAAAAAATAGGTAGGGACTAATATATAAACCAAGGTAAAGTATACTTTTCACCTCTGTAATTTAACTCAAATTTCCTTTGGTGCCTATTATATCAATTTGAACAATATAGTTCCTAACATTAAGTCCAGTTTTAATTTTGTTGTTCTGCTCAAATTAGTTGTTAAAAGTGACAATTTTATAACATATGTTATTTTCTTGAGCTTTATACGTAAAAGTAATTGTTGGTAATTTGTACAGAATGATCAAATTAAAACTAGATTTAAAGTATAATGACGAACTTGTTTAAATTAAAATAATAAAAATAAAATTTGAGTCAAAATATAAGGGTAACATTGTAATTTACCCTAAAAACTATTGATAATTTTGAAACTTTTTATTATTATTTTTTTTTTTCAAAAACAAAAATGACCAAATAATATGCCAAACCATTGATGATGCGGTAAAATGGGATGATTATTCAGTACTCTCGGAGTATAGACATGTGGTGCTCCATAATGTTTTGATTGGTGGAGAGACGCAAGGGCCCATGATTTATGTTGGGGATGGGGAAACAACATGAGTTAAGTAATTGGTGATTAGTTTGGAGTATGGACACGTGGTGATTTTTGGAGCAGAGGTGTAATATGGAAGTTGCGACACTTGATAACACCCTCTCCCTAATCAAAAATCCATGCATATCTGATTCTCTCCCTCGCATCAACACTTCAACAATAACTGAACCCCCCAAATCTCCCGGATGAACGTTGAAAAAATTCCAACTCAAAACCTCATGCAAATATATGAGAGAGAGTAGAGAGAGAGATAGAGAAAGAGAGAGATTCACATAAACATAACACTCTAAATGCTGCTATTTGCTGATTTTCTCAGTATGTTACTGACCCACTTCTCTTTTTGTGCTCTGTTTGCTTTGATTTGTATAGGAAATCGATATATATCTAGGGATCAGCTCCAAAAAAAATTATATATACTTTGGGGGAATTTCAAAAATAAACGAGAATTGAAAAAATTAATAGCTTATTAATATAATGCACGTAAGACGTGTGTCCAGAGCATGTGAGAATGATGTCCCGGAGCATATTTATCACTCACACTCCAGTGATTTGTAATTAGTTTTTCATGTCCCGGAACATAGTTCTCAATCACAACCCAGTGATTTGTAATTAGTCTTTTGATTTTTCATTTATCTGATATTTTCCAAAAACTTTTTCCCTTCATTGTTTTATGGATTTTTACCCTATTGGATGAAGATTATATAGCTTCAAATTTATTTGTTCATTATCAATTTACTCTGCTGAGTTAGATTTACCAGTTGAGGAAAGAAATTAAGTATTTTTTTTCAGTACTAGTACTGTACAAGTATATTAATTGGGTTCATTACTGCTATTATCGACAGCATTACTATTAATGTTGCCCAACTCATACTGTAGAATCCATGGTAACGTAATTGAAGAAAATGCTCTTTATATGTGTCTCGTTCTGTTTAATTTGACAATGACTGACATATATATATTTATGCACTAGTTTATGGAATGAATCTGATTCTTGTTCTACCTGCAATAATATCACTCTATGTAGTCCTAAATAGTGAATGTTTTGGAAAATATGTTTCTTTACTCTTTATCATAATTGAGCAATTGTTTAGTTGTTGATAGATGATGAAGTTCAATAGCAGATGATGTAGGAGACAGGCCTCATTTGATTAAGTGCGGTGCTTCTTTGCAGGTTCAAATTGAATAGAGCAACTAGCAACTGACTTCTTTTTTTCCGAACATTGAAACCATTGCATAGCGAGCCTGACAGCCTAAAAACTCTATCCCACTTGTAAAAAAACAAAAAAACAAACAGCTTGGTGGAGAAAGAATTACAATAAGATGGCCGATAGACAATTAGTAGAATCATCATCATGGTAATCACATCCAACCCTCCTCATTGCTCTCTAATCGCAAGTAATTCTCATCACCCATTTTTTTTCTATGTTTTCAGGTTTTCAAAATCTACATCCTCTTCAATCCTCCAACTCCATATCCGTGGTCTACCCTTCACTTTGAACAAGGCAAGAAGTGTCCTTTGTAGAATCCCACATCTTTTTTATTATTTGTTTGTATTTGTACCTTATCCTTTGTTTTTCTAAAATAATTTGATTTATGTTTATTGATTGTTATGTCTAGGAACTTATGGCTGCAAGATCAGAAAAACTAGTTATGCTACTTAAAGAGAATCCCAATGAAGATATCTCTTATTTACTCCGGGACATCCCTGCTGATCCAGAAACTTTAGAGCTTGTAATGAGATTCTGCCATGGTCTTGAAGTGAACATGTCAACTGAAAATGTTGTTCCACTCTCATGCCTTGCTTACTACCTTGGTATGACTGAAAAGCACAGCACCAATAATCTATTGAAGAAAACTTTAACCTACTTTGAACAAAGAATCATCTCTAGCTGGAATGAATCAATCAAAGGCCTCAGAGCCTCAGGAAATATTCTTGAACAAGCAGTGAATCTTGGTTTGGTTGAAGCTTGTATTGAGTCCATTGTAGCGAAGGCACTTGTTGAGCCCCGCCTTCTTGGAGAACCAATAAAGAATTCAATCAACGATGATGATAGTGAGAGCCAGGAAAATGGGTATAGGCCAAATGCAAGAAGGCAGCTTTTTGTTCTTGATTGGCAGTCACAGGATTTGATTTCACTGTCTCTCCAGCTTTATGAGCCTATCATTCAGACAATGATTCAGCGTCATGTCCCACAAGAGTACGTTTCAGCGTCTCTCTCTCAGTATGCAAAGAAATGGGTATTTTCTAAAAGTACGAAGGGGGATAATATGTTGATTTACAAGAAAAACTCCCAAAGAGAAGTTATTGAAGCAATGGAAAGACTTTTCCCTAGAGAGAAAGGACTCGTTCCATCCACTTTGTTGTTTGAAATGCTACGTTCTGCGATGTTCTTGGAAGCTAGCTCTGATTGTAGAGAAGGGTTTGAGGTTAGGGTTGGAAAACGAACTAGACCAAGCTACAGTCAAAGACCTTTTAATACCTTCTCAAGGATATGCTAGAGAAGCGAAATGTGATGTGGAATGTGTGAGGAGGATTTTAAAGAACTTTTACTGCAATTACACTCATTCAGACATTTCTGGATTAATTACAGTGGCACAACTCGTTGAAGATTTATTGGCAGAGGTTGCGAATGATGTAGATTTGAAGACAATCACATTTATATCACTTGCTGAAATGTCGAATTCAGTATCAGTGGGAATTCAGCGCAGCTCTGATGGGATATACAGAGCAATTGACATCTACTTGGATAAGCATAGACATTTGACAGAGTCCGAGAGAGAAGAGGTGTGTCGGGTTTTGAATTGCCATAAAATGTCTCAAGAAGCTTGTGAACACCCTGCACAAAATGAACGGTTGCCATTGAGAGTGGTGGTGCAGATACTATTTGCGGGGCATTTACACTTGAGAGACACCATCACAAAGAAGGTGCAGGGTTCGGATGAGAGATTGACAAAGCTGAAGACAGAGGACGAGGAAGAAGCAGAGAGGGTAAGCAGTAGTGAAGAAGGGGTGAAAATAGAGATGGAGAAAATGGGGAGCAAAGTGATGGAGTTGGAGAGAGAATGCTGTATAATAAGGAAAGAGATTCAGTGCAGTAGAGGCAAAAAGGAAAAATTTAGCGTGTGGAGAGAAATGAAGCGCAAGTTTGGGTGCACGAGTAGCATGAATGATTTTAATTCCCATTTGAAGAAGAAGAAGAAGGTGCATCCAAGACAGTGAGTATGGAAATGAATTTGATGTTCTTAGCTCTTTCTTTTCCGTTCTTTTCTTTTCTTTTCTTTTCTTCCCTTTTTCTTGCGTACTATTATTTCAATCAACCTCCTCCTAATAAAGACCTTCACAATAGTGAATACAAAGCTAGCCAATCTAACTCAATGACTGAAGTTTATATGAACTAAACATGTTGCATTTATTTCAAGCGATAACAGATGTTGTTTTATCCATGTTAATTGTTGTTGCCACTTATAGTATTAATTTTTTTTCAGTTTTTTTTTTTTTTTTTTGAATGCAACTAAGTTTTGTTAGAGAACATCTCTGGATATCTTTTTGTGCCATAACTCTTTTCCTTTATTCATATCACTTCTTCAAATTTTATCAGGATTGGTTTATTGGGTCTATATATTTATGCAGACTCATGTATGAAAATGAAATCTATGTTTTGGTATATCTATGTAGACACTAAACACTCAATTTCATGGTTTTAAATATCAACTGTTGCGTTCCATATCAACCGATATATAATCGGTATTTTGGATCTCTAATATTGTTATTCACTGATATACAAGCCAATGTTGTCTGATATCGATAGAAATTTGACTCTATCATTGATATCAATACATACTCCAATAAAATTATTTAAAACTAGGCTCTATTTTAACTGGTACACCACAGATGGTCTAAGAGCTACCTTTGCTTGCTTGTTACTACATTACACGCACACCTAATACCACTCTCTCTTCTCTCGGCTCACTTCCTCTCTCCACACCCTTTCTTACTCTAAAAGTCTATTGAGATTCAACAAACTCTAGAGCCTATCACAACATTCTATAATTTTAAAATAATCTAAAAGATTTCAGAAAGTTCTAGGAAAATTTGGAAGTTCATAGTATTAGAATATATTAGTAGTATATTAGCTAGCTGTATATGAGCTGTCTACCAACCAGCTTTCATAATGTTATTCCTTAGTACATTGCCTCTTTCCTCTTTCAGCCACTTTTGGCCCCTCTGTACACACTCTTCCCTATAAAGAGTCTTCTCTGAACATTGTAAATAAACATTCAATACATATAATTTACTCTCTCTTTATTTCTGTATACATTCAATTTAACATAATATTAGAGCTTTAAGATTTACGTCTATATTTTTTTCTCACCGGTAGGCAATCGGCCGACAACCTTGTCTTCGCTCCCCGCTGAGTTTTCTACACATGCCTTCACTCCTCTACATCTTCCGACTCTTTCTTTGTGGCTCTAATCATTTTGTTTAGTCAACCTATCTCTCTCCCTTTCTCATTTTGCCTCTCTGTTTGCAAATTCCTTGACCCGGGTCAGATCCATTTGTAGCTGTCTTCGCTGCTCAGCAACAATTGAACAATGGCGAGCTTTGGACTCACACTCTCTGGTTTCGGACTCTCTAGAAATCCGCCATCTTCTCCGACCCATTCAATTTCACCTCCAACTAGAACGGTCCCAACGTCTGCTCTTATTTTGGAGTGTTCTGTGGCTAAAACAATCAACGAGATCATCCTCCTTAATGATAATCTCACGGGCTGTCTTCCTCATAAAATCAGCTTCCTCAATAAGCTCACTGTGTTTGATGTTAGCTTCAACCACCTCCAGGGTTCACTGCCTTCTACCGTCGGACGCATGAGGAGCTTGGAGCAGCTGGATGTGGCCCACAATAGTCTTACTGGCCTCATCCTTGCAACTGTATGCCAGCTTCCAAGGCTTCACAACAAGTGGGTACCCATTTTTCTTCTCCTCCAGCCCACCATGTCCAACAACATTTTTTTCTGTGTGGTGATTCAGAACCAGGCAAGCCAACTTTCAGCCCCGGGAACTCATCACCACCACTGAGCTGAGACTTGGCTGTGTGAAAATCTTCACCCCTTCTTCTATATCCATACATATCTATACCATATTTCTTCATTATATATTAATTATCACCTACACAACACCTCCACCGCCATTCCCTATATAACCCACGTGGGCTTGTTCCCATCTTTTCATACAACCCATCATTCCCAAATTGTTTAATCAATCAGTCTGATCCCACTATCCCCCACTTTCTTTATTTTATTTTATCTTCATTTTTTCATTAAAAAAAATAAAAAATCCCATTCCCCACCAACTCATTTTCTTTTCACTTGATTTTTCTGCCATTCATATCATACAAATTTACACGACAAACTTTATTTTATTCATCTCAAGGATTTACCCCAATCATAGTTCTACACCAGCGAGTTACAAAAAAAAAGCACAAACACAAACACAAACACCAACAATAACAACAAAGGATTTGTTTTTTTTTCTACTAACGGCCACCCGCCGACCTCACTTTCTTGACTCTGCCGCCGCTCTCTTCCTCTTGCCTTCGTCTTGGGTGACACTTGACGGCCCTACCTCAGTGCTTCCAAGTCCACCGAGCAAGTTGTCTCCTCGCTACTCCTCCAACGCAGCATATGGCGGCCCTCCGAATCGGACCATGACAATGGCCTTCCGTTTTAGCTTCTTGTTCTCCGCCTTCAGCGCATAAATCTCTGCTTGCACATCCTTATACATGGGCTGCAGCAGAGAGAGTTGGGTATTTAACTGTTGTACCTCACTTGTCTTATTCTGTAGCTGGTGAGACAAGTTAGTGACCGCAGTCATGGTCTCCACCCCCTTCTTCTATATCTATACATATCTATACCATATTTCTTCATTATATATTAATTATCACCTACACAACACCTCTACCGCCATTCCCTATATAACCCACGTGGGCTTGTCCCCATCTTTTCATACAACCCATCATTCCCAAATTGTTTAATCAATCAGTCTGATCCCACTATCCCCCCTTTCTTTATTTTATTTTATCTTCATTTTTTCATTAAAAAAAATAAAAAATCCCATTCCCCACCAACTCATTTTCTTTTCACTTGATTTTTCTGCCATTCATATCATACAAATTTACACGACAAACTTTATTTTATTCATCTCAAGGATTTACTCTAATCATAGTTCTACACCAGCGAGTTACAAAAAAAAAACACAAACACAAACACAAACATCAACAATAACAACAAAGGATTTGTTTTTTTTTTTCTGCTAACGGCCACCCGCCAACCTCACTTTCTCGACTCTGCCGCCGCTCTCTTCCTCTTGCCTTCGTCTTGGGTGACACTTGACGGCCCTACCTCAGTGCTTCCAAGTCCACCGAGCAAGTTGCCTCCTCACTACTCCTCTAACGCAGCATATGGCGGCCCTCCGAATCGGACCATGACAATGGCCTTCTGTTTTAGCTTCTTGTTCTCCGCCTTTAGCGCATAAATCTCTGCTTGCGCATCCTTATACATGGGCTGCAGCAGAGAGAGTTGGGTATTTAACTGTTGTACCTCACTTGTCTTATTCTGTAGCTGGTGAGATAAGTTAGTGACCGCAGTCATGGTCTCCACACATGACTTCAACGTATAGTGGTTGGCCTCAATGTCCGATTGAGTGGCCATTATTTGCTCCACTGACAGCATAGGAAAATCCAGCGGAGTAAAAGCAAAAACAGGGGCGCTTGATTGCTATTCAAGGGCGACAGAACCGGTTATCTCTATTGTGGACTCGTTTAGGTTTGGAAAAGGGGTGAGCGAACTACGGGAAGAGGAGGCCATCTCAGAGGCAGCATAAGCAAGGGGTTACAGAGTGAACGAAAAAGGTTGCAGAGTTTGTCGCTTTGGTTTGATTTCAATTTCTAACCAGCCTCAATCTCGGTTTAAATAGACAATGTAGTGACTAAGACGCCAAAACGGGAGCGCGAGTCGAGGCAAACACGACACTTTGTCGGTCACGTACATTGTGCGCCACTCGATGCCACAGTGTAGGGCGCGACTTTTGAAGGCAGGGCACGACTTTTGAAGACCAGCATGACTTTTGAGGGCGCGATATATATATGTATATATCTTTGGGCAGCCTATATACATGACCATACAGTGTATTCGACAATGGTCTGACATGACTTCACAGTGTCTTCTACAACGGTTCGACACGACCACACAGTGTCTTCTACAACTGTACAACACAACCACACAGTGTCTTCTACAGCGGTTTAACACGACCTCACAATGTCTTTTACATCCTTTACAGCTAATGTATAATATATACTAACATCCCCCCGCAAACTCAAGGAGGATAGACATCCACCAAGTTGAGTTTGGAAACGAGATCACTGAAGCGCCCAGGAGGATGAGCCTTGTCCTTGAGTTTGCGGGGGAATGTTAGTATATATTATACATTAGTTGTAAAGGATGTAGAAGACACTGTGAGGTCGTGTTAAACCACTATAGAAGACATTGTGTGGTCATGTGTGTGGTCGTGTTGTACCGTTGTAAAAGATACTGTGTGGTCGTGTCGAACCGCTGTAGAAGACACTTTGAGGTCGTGTCGAACCATTGTAGAATACACTATATGAGCATGTATATAGGCTACTCAAAGCTATATATATATATATATCGCACCCTCAAAAGTCGCGTCGAACTTCAAAAGTCGTGCCCCGCCTTCAAAAGTCGCTCCCGATACTGTGACGTCGAGCGGCGCGCAATGTAGGTGACCGACAGAGCGCCGTGTCTACCTCGGCTCGCGTTCCCGTTTTGGCGTCTTAGTCTCTGCATTGTCTATTTAAACCAAGGCTGAGGCTGGTTAGAGATTGAAAGCAAACCAAAGCGATGAACTCTACAACCCCTTTCGTCCACTCTGCAACCCCTTGCTTGTGTTGCCTTTGAGATGGCCTCTTCTTCCCGTAGTTCGCTCACTCTTTTTCCAAACCTAAACGAGTCCACAATAGAGATAACCGGTTCTGTCGGTCACGTGCATCGCTCGATGCCACAATGTCGGGCATAACTTTTGAAGGCGGGACACGACTTTTGAAAACCGGTGCGACTTTTGAGGGCGTGATATATATATCTATGTATATATCTTTGGGAAGCCTATATATATGACCATACAGTGTATTCTACAATGATCCGATACGACCTCACAATGTCTTCTACAGCGGTTCGACACGACCACACAATGTCTTCTACAACGGTACAATACGACCACACAATGTCTTTTACAACGGTTTAACACACGCTCACAGTGTTTTCTACATCGGTCTGACATGAGTCATATGGTGTCTTCTACACCGGTCTGCCACAACCATACAATGTCTTCTACACCGACGGTTCGACACGACCACACAGTGTCTTCTACAGCAGTCTGACACGACCATACAGTGTCTTCTACAATGGTCTGACACGACCATACCGTGTCTCCTATCCTATTTTATTTTATTTTCCTGTTTTGTTACTCTTTCCAAACTCAAGTTGGTTTGTCCCTATCCTCCCTGAGTTGAGGGGGGATATTAGAATATTAGTAGTATATTAGCTAGTTGTATATGAGTTGTCTACCAACCAGCTTTCATAATGTTGTTCCTCAGTTCATTGCCTCTTTCAGCCACTTTTAGCCCCTCTGTACACACTCTCCCCCATAAAGGAGAGTCTTCTTTGAACATTGTAAATACACATTCAATACATACAATTTATTCTCTCTCTATTTCTCTATACATTGAATTTAACACGTAGAATATCTTAGAAGAATCTAGAATGTGAGAGATTCTTGGGAAAGTTTAAATAAATCTGAAAGGTTTAGTATTCTAAAAAAGTATGGAAAAATCTACAATAGTAGAAAATTCTAAAATATAGTGAAAGGAGGAAGTATATCCTATAATATTTTAGAAGTTTAATTATGTCTCTTAAATCAAGTTAATCCTAGTTATCCATTGAGAATAAGGGGGTGAAACCAAATTTGGAGGTATAAAAAATGAAGTGGTGGAGAGAACTAACAAAGAGGAGAGAACCAACAAAGAGAATGTATGTTAAAGGCAAACTTGGGTTAAATATGTTAGTTAACATACGAGGTAAAGCAAATTGGGTCTATGAAATTGTGTATACTTTTTTTCAGTCGTGAGTTTTCTATAAGAGTATGTGTTTGGCTAGCTCAAAATGATACTATTTTCAACAATGTCAATGACGGGACATTTTAAAATTGGGAGTTGTATTATGTTACCACATGATGGAGAGACATTTCAAAATTAAGCTTTGTATTTCTTTTTCAATTAATGATTTTTTTTGCTTAATTTTTTTTTAAAAAAAAATTTAAAAATAGTTTTTGCTTTTATTTTCTTTGGATGTTGTGGATATTTAGATCTACACGCGCATATCGCTCTTTCTTTTTTGTATTTTGCTCATTGACCTAGCGCCGAAAAAAATTTAGTAACATTTTTTATGTGACAACATTGAGTGTATAAGAAAAAAAAATTGAAGTAAATGGCAACAAAATCAAATTAATCAGAATCATATATGCCCATAATATTTTTAGTCATAATTATTAATGTTATTCTATGCGAAAACCTAGCAATAATCTCAATCACAACGCATTTTTTCTATTGTAGACAAATTTATTGATAAATTTTCTAAATAACTAACTTTATTACAAAAGACTTGAATTGGTTGGTTAAAGTAATATTGGTGAATGCATATATCTATGCCTGTTTTCATTCTCTCCCAAGAGGATGACACTGGCGTTGAGGATTTGATTCGCCAAAAAATATAGCACAAAAAGATAATTCAAATCGCATTTGATGTCAAGTAAAAAAATATGATTAACCACACCTTTTTTTTAAAAAACATGATTACCAATCATGCTTCAACGTAATTTAGGAATATAAGTTTATCCATACACTATTTATTCAATTTTAAATAAATAATAATAACAAAAGGGTCGAAAAGCTAAAAATGCGGGTTCATATGATGCAATACAACACGTTTACGCAAACACAAATAACAATAATGCTACAAACCCAAGAAAAACACATATGTAGATCACAATCATTCTAGATAAAGTTTTGTCATAGCATTTCTGCGTAAATAAACCATAGACAAAAATAGCCAGCACGTACATGCCAATTCGATATGGCCAACCTTCAATGAAAATAATGAAAAATGCTTCATATGACCAGCGTCGTAATGCCATATACATTCTACTTAATCGGAGACCTCTGCAATCCATGTATGGGGCAAATACTGCAGAAAAATACAAGTTTACAGCTTCAAGTGTCATACTTATAAAGATTCAGAGACCAATCAACCTGATAAAAGTAACCACACTACTGGATTGGATCAAAACTTCGACCAAATTTATCATCCCCAATTTTCTGAACAAACAGAACAATCAAGATTAGAGAGCCCAAACAACAAAGGATCATACTTACCAGCAAGAACCCTATTAGTTTATGCCTGTTTTCATTCTCTCCAAGAGGATGATACTGGCGTTGAGGATTTGATTCACCAAAAAATATAGCACAAAACGATAATTCAAATCGCATTTGATGTCAAGTAAAAAAATATGATTAACCACACCTTTTTTTCAAAAAACATGATTACCAATCACACTTCAACGTAATTTAGGAATATAAGTTTATCCATACACTATTTATTTAATTTTAAATAAATAATAATAACAAAAGGGTCGAAAAGCTAAAAATGCGGGTTCATATGATGCAATACAATACGTTTACGCAAACACAAATAACAATAATGCTACAAACCCAAGAAAAACACATCTATGGATCACAATCATTCTAGATAAAGTTTTGTCATAGCATTTCTGCGTAAATAAACCATAGACAAAAATAGCCAGCACGTACATGCCAATTCGATATGGCCAACCTTCAATGAAAATAATGAAAAATGCTTCATATGACCAGCATCATAATGCCATATACATTCTACTTAATCGGAGACCTCTGCAATCCATGTATGGGGCAAATACTGCAGAAAAATACAAGTTTACAGCCTCAAGTGTCATAATTATAAAGATTCTGAGACCAATCAACCTGATAAAAGCAACCACACTACTGGATTGGATCAAAACTTCGACCAAATTTATCATCCCCAATTTTCTGAACAAACAGAACAATCAAGATTAGAGAGCCCAAACAACAAAGGATCATACTTACCAGCAAGAACCCTATTAGTTTTTCCAATACCCTTACCGCTGATGGTATTGCACTTGTGAAATAACTAGTGATGCAAAACCTAATTCATTGCCATCAGCAGTAGGGAGCAAGGACAGCTAGAAATGCCCACATGATGTTATAATCATGTGGATGCTGTTGCTAAGGGCGGGAATTTCCATAGACATTTGCACAACAACAGAGCATTAATAAAAGTTGAAATCCGGAACCAATATTTCCTAGCAAAATATTATAACTTCTAAAATGATACCACAGCATGTTTTCCACTTTCCCTCACCAAGAACATGGACAGGCACAAACATGCTTAGCTTGGGGTAAACAGAAGGGCAGAAAAGAGAAAACATACACTAACAGAGAGTTTGATTTTAAACATGTTCTGGAATCCGATGTGCTTTGCAACTAACCCCAGGAATTTTAGCTTCGTCTCACTCCTTCCTCATAAGGAGAAACAACCTCTGATCAACCTTAAATTTACCCATATAAGATGGATTCCCCTTCAGCATAAGTTGAAGTCCACCAAAAGAAATATATATCATCCTGAAGCCAAACACCAAAACTTAATTAATAGACTGATGAGAATGAATAGAGCACAATGAATAGGTTATCTACCCAGAAAAAAAAATGACTTCTAATATAAGCCCATAATTTTTAGAGCAACACATATAATGATGGTTGCATGATCAACCATGAGATCTTTAAAAATGTTTTCTAAGCCAACAAGAGCAAGTTGGCTATCATAAGATTCATAACTTTCCCACTCAAACTGGTCCACTATTTCTTTAAGCTACTGACACTAGATATACAATAATTTGCAACGACGGTATTAAATGACCCAACATTCACAAAACACAATTAATAAAATGTTTTAAAACTTTTGCATATACATACACTTTAACATCAGGTCCTGAGGACTCATCCTCAGATATCTTGTATAACAGCCCATGCATAACATATTCAAATTTGTCAGCAAGTGATTTTGCCGCACCCTGAAATTGAAGAACAGTAAATTTATTAATGATCTTAGGCTTCCAATACGAAAGAATTACAAAAAGGAAGAGAAAACATGTACAGACACAAAACTCCAAACACATCACAGAAGCATGTTCCTCATTTCCTATTTATTTGAATGTAGTGCTGACGTATCATTGTGCTCATTTTGTGACTGCGCACGTGTAGTTTCTGAGTATATATCATATTTTGATCATTGGACCAAATATGCAATGTTAAATTTCCAAAAAATAATTAAAACATAAATAAAAACTGAAGAAAAATATATCTGAAGAGACTCTGCTGTCACCAAACAAGAATCAAATCTTGTGGTCAAAATTACTGCACTAAAATCAGCATCTGTCACCAAGCAAGATTTCTCCTATGACATCTCTCAGTCCCTTGCACAACAAAGATATGATGAGGGAGGGACTACTCATCAGAGTGTGGGCTACTTCTACAAAAATCTGATGATTGATTTAAGAACAGCAGTGGAAAAGTAGTCTAGGAATCAATTGATTCAATCCAATAAGCATGGTTGACTATTATAGGAAAGTCATTCTACTGTCAAGAGTTGGAACTCAATTTTCAAAAGAGAATCGAAATTAAAGCAAAATCCAATGTCAAATCTGAAAATAAAAGTAACAAATATAACTTCAAAAACGGTATAAGGTACAAGTTGGTAACGTCTTCCATTGAAAGGCTACTATAGACTGCAATGGTAATTATATTACCTTGACAGCTGTTCCACTGACATTTAGACTTGGAGCTAATGCCATCCTAAACTTCTCCCCAACATTAATAGGATACAATTCCGTATTCACATCTAGCAGCAGCTGCATATCATAATCCTCACTCTGTGCTTGAATGCGAGAAACTGTAGACACACATTTATGCAGTCATTAACTTGAAGCAGTATCAAGAATCTGGAATAGGAACACAGAAATTTAAAATATCCAACTATCACGCTAAATCTATTCAAACATTACTCGTAGTAGCCACTTAGATAAGAGTTGGCAAAGCGAAATCACAGAAAAAATATTTGAAACGTAGATAAACCACCTAAAAGCTCACTTTACGAAGCTCGGAAATGTTGGCAGATATCCACAAAGTGATGAAAAAGAGAATTATTTAATATTGTGTCACTATGCCTCACCAATGACAACCTTCCAAAAGAAGCCACAACGAAAACTACACCTTAACTCCACTGCCTTCACTTATCACTTGTGTTTAATGTACACAACTGAACGAATATGCACCACCAACAAAGTAAAGGCAACAGTCAATGGCAAATTCCTTCAGACACTACATAGCACTTGATGCAGGCTGAAACATGCTTGCTGTTGCACTCATGCAAGCATGACTGAGAATCACTTGGCAAAATAGATAACCTATATGGGCATAAGTATACTAAAACTAGGTCTGGGAGGACCTTACATTTTATCTCTCCCATTCAATGTAGAAGAATATACTTTTGGCGCACTACTTAACACTTTTTACATCTGAAAACAACAGCCTTGCAAGAATCTGGCACACTTCCAGTGTCATTTTCCAACAAGCAACCAATACTTTATTCTTTATAGTTTAAATGGAGCTGCCACATCATGTATTACGAGAATTTCAATTGCATTGCACCTTAGTTCATGCAGCAGTACAATTACAGATTCAAGTAGGCAATATATTCAGAGCAGAGCAGATTCGATCAAAACCCACCCCACACATAACCTGAGTTGGATCTCTAACTTCAATACCTTTCCCGTCCCAACCTTTGAGGAAATGTCCCATCCACAGGCCATGTTCAGTCCACCAGAACAATGCAAATCTGGCAGCATTGCCTTGGGCATGGGACTTACCAAGTGAACCATCAGACTGCCACCCCAAAATGCTGCCATCTTTTCTACTGATAGTATCCTTCAAGTGCTTAAAAAGATATTATACATGTAGGCAAGTTCAAAATTGTGAAGTCCCATAATAAGGCCCATAATGACCTAAACTGATGAGCTAATGAACTAGGTCATCCTTCGTAGCAGGAAACTCCTAGCTCCTTAAACTCTTCTATCTCTGAATTGTTCACCCCTCAGAGAAGGGGGAGGGATGCCAGGCACCATCTCCAAAAGTTGCCGACTTTTATACCAGCATCTTTGTTGATTTGTGAACAATTTTTTCATCCTTTCAAGAGCATTTTTTTTATATGTAATTAAAAATATATCTTGTCAAGATCTTTAGAACATCATGTTGACTTGTTTACAAATACCTTCTTTCAAGGAACAAATCAATATAATGTGGAACCAGCCCTCTTCAAGTCAAAGCATTTTGCACTAACGAACTTTTTATATATATGTAAGTTTTGCAGTAAAGGAATTACAGTTAACATCCAACAGAAGGCCCAAAGCACAGAGATATAGATGGACGGTGTTTTTAATATAGACTGCAAGCATTATTTAAGCAATCAACAAGTAACAACAAGAATCTAGATGAAACCATTAAAGATGCATATCCATAAACATACCTTTGTCAAATTTTTTACCATCTGGATCTAATCGTTCAACCTTAATAATGTCATCAAAATAAATACCAGCCATCTTGATGGCAACCTAGTCTCTCGAAAGGAAATATATACCTGAAACAAAATATAACAGAAAAAAAAAGGGTTGGAAAAAAAGAGGAGTGTTAGATGGAGGGTGCAATTAAAATCATCAATAATATACATGATTTTCCACACAAAGGAATCATGAATAGAAACCTTTCCAATTGGGTAGAGCAGGGAAAATAAAACCCAAATTGAACTATAATTACCTCAGAAAATATATTTTAAAAATTTACGTAAATAGTTTAAAATATAGGTATTAGGAAAATAAAAATAAAAACCTAAACTTTCTTAAATATTTCTTCTATTGCTTTTTAAAATTAAAAATAAAAATCATAAATGCAGAAAATAATAAATTAACATAAATTCCACACATAATCAACTACACAAATGCAGGTGGTCTCAACCAAATTTCATACACTATAATGGAAATATAAGCTAAATCAATGCACAAACCATAACCATCAAACGCAAATTCTAAACTAACTACACAAATTATCAAATAAATGAAGTAAATTAAGCAAAAAATTAAGAATAGAAAAGAGTGAAAGGGACAAATTGATTAAGACTGTGTTTGGTTTATGGATTTGAGGACAGATATTATACACATTTTTTTTCTTTTTAAATCTCTCTCTCCAAATTCATGAACCAAACCCAGTCTAAAAAAAATAATTTAAAACCAAAAAAAAAAACTACACTGCTTCAGTGTTTTTTTTTTTTAAGTATAAATCTATAAATTAATGAACGAATCTGCGGAATGATTTGGGCCTCGCCACGTGCTGGCGAGAGAATGGTTTCTCCTCCTTATTTAAGGAGAAGCGGGTTCAGTTCCGATTCGTAGCTTGAAATTCGGAGGCTCGAATTTGGCTTGACACCAAAACGATTTTTTTTTTTTCGCCATTTCTGAAAGTTGGGAAGAAGAAGATAATTATAATGAAAAAAGGAAGAGAAGAAGAACACCAAAACGATGAACACCAAAACGAAAGATGAACACCAAAACTGGAATACCCATTCCCAAATTATATTTCTTTTAGAAGACGCCATTCCCAAAGTAAAAAAAAGAGAAGAAGAAGATCTGGAATACCCATTTTTTAAAATAAATATTCTTCTTCATTTGAGATGTTCATCTTCGTTTGGGTTTAATTAAAAAATGCGAGTTCATCTTCATTTGGGTATTTCTTCTTAGATGTTCCCTATTTGAGAGCAGCACAGAAAATCTGGAATACCCATTTGGGTATTTCTTCATTTTTCTTCATCAAACCCAAGTTCATCTTCATCATCAAAAAACACAGAGATCTTCATCAATATCAACATCTTTATCAACAACAACACAGAGATCATCTCCAGATAAATAAATAAAAAACAGATCGGCGATGGCAGATAAAAAAAAAACAGAGATCTTCATTTTCTTCTTCTTTAGATCATCATCTTCAGATCAACATCATCATCTTGGTTCCTCTTCTTTTCTTCTCCTCCTCTCTTCCTCTTCTCTCTCTCTCTTTTCTGTCTTCTCTCTTTGTGTATTCTGATTCAAAAAGCAAGAAAAGAAAAAAAAAATCGAAACCCAAAACGACGTCGTTTTGGGTTTCGATTTTTTTTTTCTTTTCTTGCTTTTTGAATCAGAATACACAAAGAGAGAAGACAGAAAAGAGAGAGAGAGAAGAGGAAGAGAGGAGGAGAAGAAAAGAAGAGGAACCAAGATGATGATGTTGATCTGAAGATGATGATCTAAAGAAGAAGAAAATGAAGATCTCTGTTTTTTTTTTATCTGCCATCGCCGATCTGTTTTTTATTTATTTATCTGGAGATGATCTCTGTGTTGTTGTTGATAAAGATGTTGATATTGATGAAGATCTCTGTGTTTTTTGATGATGAAGATGAACTTGGGTTTGATGAAGAAAAATGAAGAAATACCCAAATGGGTATTCCAGATTTTCTGTGCTGCTCTCAAATAGGGAACATCTAAGAAGAAATACCCAAATGAAGATGAACTCGCATTTTTTAATTAAACCCAAACGAAGATGAACATCTCAAATGAAGAAGAATATTTATTTTAAAAAATGGGTATTCCAGATCTTCTTCTTCTCTTTTTTTACTTTGGGAATGGCGTCTTCTCAAAAAAAATAATTTAGGAATGGGTATTCCAGTTTTGGTGTTCATCTTTCGTTTTGGTGTTCATTGTTTTGGTGTTCTTCTTCTCTTCTTTTTTTTATTATAATTATCTTCTTCTTCCCAACTTTCAGAAATGGCGAAAAAAAAAAAATCGTTTTGGTGTCAAGCCAAATTCGAGCCTCCGAATTTCAAGCTACGAATCGGAACTGAACCCGCTTCTCCTTAAATAAGGAGGAGAAACCATTCTCTCGCCAGCACGTGGCGAGGCCCAAATCATTCCGCAGATTCGTTCATTAATTTATAGATTTATACTTATCTTTTATTTTTCATAACCAACTAACATAAACCCTAAATCTATTATTTTTCATAATCATCTTAAATCCTGAATGTGTCGTCTTCATCACCATTATCAATGCTATTGAACTTGAAATTTTTGCTTCAAGTATAACATATACTTCATCACTTATTTCACTGTGTAGAGCAATGGAGGACGAGGACAACAATTCTAGTGAGACCGGTGTTCTATTGGTAAGTTTATCTGTCTTGTATTAACATTCTCAGTCGTTTTCGGTCGTTCTTGTTTCGTTTGAGCTGTTCGGTACTAGTTTGCTGACTGTTAGAATTATGTTCGGTAGTACAGTACTGAACATAATCCTTTCGTTCAATACATAGGTTCCGAACATTAATGCAGATAGTTAGTTATGTAATTTTCTTTGTTAAACTAACTTAGAATGGAAAATAGTAAATTGGAATGGATTTAAGTTATGTATTTTGAATAGATTTAAGTTATGTATTTTGAATGGATTTAATTCATGTTATTTTAAGTTGTGAATTGGAATGGATTCAAATTACACAGTGATGAACAAATTTTGTTTGGACATACAGTGCTGACAGGATCATTATTGTTCGACAAAACAGTTCTGAACAAAATACATTTGTTCAGCTACACAGTGGTGAACAAATTATTTTAAGCTGCATTCAGACGATGATTCTGATGGCGATTTAGACGATGATTCTGATGGCGATTTAGACGATGATTATGTTTTTCCTCATCTTGCAAATGGTTATGCAAATCCCATAGAAATTGAAGTATCTTCGATCGATCTCAGCGATGACAAAAATACAAAAAGCAACGAAGAAGATGATGATGAGAGGATAAGAGAGGTTACTGATTCGGCGATACGGAGAACGTTCAGAGAAGATGAGAGTCGTCGGAATGCTCCATTGACGGCCGAGACGGCGACGAGAGTGATGGAGGGTTGGGGTCCAAGAATTCTATATTGGACCAAAGCTCCAAACTCTGAAGATTGAGTGAGTCAAGGAATGAGAGGGATGAAAAATTAGGTGGGTGTGCATTTCATTGTAAAAATATTATGAACATGGGTAGATTTGGTAATAAGTGGGGTGTCCAAAAAAATATTATTAAAATTTAGGGTTTAGGCTTGGGGTCCAAAGAAATTGGGGGTCCAAAGAATTTTGGTAGGTGCTAATAGCAGCACTCTTTAAATATATGTAACTTGAGTAGATATAAAATCAAAAAAGATGTGTCAAAATTTTTAAAACGTTCATAAAAAATAATAAATATAGAGTGAAACTATGCCGTATAAATTAGATTATATGTATTTAAAAATACAGTTAGACTATGAGGTCTTTTGGAAAAAAAATGAAAAGTCAGTTTTTAGTTTTTTACATATTTTAAGTCACATCACTTCTTACATTTTTTATTTATAAAAATACAAAATAGACTAAAAAAACTAAAAAATTAATTTTTTACCAACTTCTCAAAACATTCCTATGTATATGAAGGAAGTAAACAAATTTGACACTGTGTTCTTAACAAATTTTTTTACTACAAGACGAGACTCAAAAAAAACTCAAAGATTGAGTTTTGACAATTCATAACCAAGCAAGTTTTAAATTCATTTTTCTAAAAACTATTTTGAAAACTAAAATGCATCTTTTGGAAAGTGGCTTATAAGCCATCTTTTTAATTTATTTGAATTATATTATCTCTCTATTTTTATATGTCTTTTCGTAATAAGTAAAAAAACTAACTTATTTGGTACTTTCTAAAATAACTTTAATTTAAAAACTTAATTCAAGGGGGTGGGACACTTTGATAAGATTTTAGCATATAAGTCCTCAGGTTCTAGGTTCCACTCTTCCCAGGATCAGCTACCTGGGTAACAGCACGTATGGTTACTAGGATGAACTTTTTAGGCATGGCGAACCATAATAGTGTCAAGAGTGTGGGTTCAAATTCTTGTTTGTGTACGAGTTGGTAACTTATCGCTACATGGTTGAGTAGTCCTACCATGTAGCAACCACTTAAGAATGACCTCTGAGGTCTCGGCTTGTTATAAGGTCTAATCGTGGAGATTACTCCTATGTGGTTAGGCCTTTTAACCTTAATTTAAAAACTCATAATCAAATAAGTTTTGAATTTTCAATTTTTTTTAAAAAACTAATTTTAAAAATTAATTTCAAAACTAAACCAATTTTGAAAATATATAGAGTGCTTTCAAAATTGACCGGGCATGTTGAACCATAACTGGCACAAACTAAAC